TTTTTTGACTTTTAAAAAAATTTTGGAAAACATACATAAAATGTACCATTTAGACCATTTTAAAGGTCATAACTCAGTGGCATAAAGTATATGCAGATATACCACCACTATCAATCTCCAGAAAGTTTTTCATCTTGCAAAACTGAAACTCTGTATCCATTACACAGTAACTCCCCACTCCCCACCCGTGACAACCACCCATTCTCCCTCCTGTGTCCATGAACTTGATGACTCCAGGTACTTTATGTAAGGGAAATCTTATAGTATTTTTCTTTTTGTAACTGGCATATTTCACTTAGCATATTGTGTTCAAGAGTCATCCATGTTGTAGCATTAGTCATACATTTTTTCCGTTGAAGCTGGGTAGAGTGGTGCATACCTGTAATCCCAGCACTCTGGGAGGCTGAGGAAGGAGGGCTGCCAAGTTTGAGCCCAGCCCAAACACCTTAGTGACTTAGCAAGATTTTGTTGACCCTTCTATCCATTAATAGACACCTGGATTACCTTCACCTTTTGGCTATTTTGAGTAATATTGCTATGAACATGAGTGTGCAGTCTATTTGAGTCCCTCATTTCATTTCTTCTGTGTGTGCGTGTGGGGTGGGGGTGGGGTACAGGACTTGAACCCATGATTCAGTTTGCACTGAACTACACCCCCAGACCTTTTTTAGTTGAGACAGGGTCTCACTAAATTGCTAAGTTGCCCAGACTAAGCTCAAACTTGCAATCCTCATACCTCAGCCTCCCAGAGTGTTGGAATTACAGGCATGCACAATCATGCCTAGCTCTGCTATTGTTTCTTTCAGATTTATACCCAGAAGTGGGAATTGCAAGATTATATAGTAATGCTGGGGATTTAGCTCAGTGGTTCCAGCGCCTGCCTCAAAAGTGCAAGGTCCTGAGTTTGATAACTGGTACCAAAAAAAGATTATATAGTAATTCTAGTTTTGATTTTTTGACAAAATATCATACTGTTTCTAATAATCTTTTCAAATAGCCAACGTTTTGTCTTTGTTGATTGAAATACAGTATTTTTGTTTTATAGTCCATTCATTTCTGTGGTTATCTTTGGTACTTCCTTTCTGCTTTCATGGGCTTCTGTTCCTTTGCTAGCTTACATTGGGTGTTTAGCTTATTTTTAGTCTTTTTTCTTTCCCATAATAAGTATTTCAAAGCCTTAAATTTTTTTTTTTTTTTTTGGTACTGGGGATCGAACTCAGGACCTTGCGCTTGCAAGGCAGGTGGCAGAACCACTGAGCTAAATCCCCAGCCCCAAAAAAGCCTTAAAGTTTTAAGTCTTACTTAAGCTATATACAAGTTTTGCAATGCAGAATTTTTTTCATTCAGTCCTAAATAATTTCCAGTTTTTCATTATTTCTTCATAGAGCCATGTGTAAAAAGTGGTCTTTAAAAATGTTTTGAAAATTAAAACTGTATTTCTGAATTATTTTCCATCCACTATATTGTTATATAATAGCATAATCAATATAATAGGATTTTTATACACATCTGTTGAAACTTACCTTATGATTAGCTATTTGATCTTTTTATTTGTTAACGTTCATATAAATTCTAATTTATGTAATTATATAAACATGGTTATTTAATTTATGATTAATAATGTTGGCTGGGGGCCGGGGATTTAGTTCAGTGGTTCTACCACCTGCCTCGCAAGCACAAGGACCTGAGTTCGATCCCCGGTACCAAAAATAATAATAATAATGTTGGCTGATATTTAATACCTCTAATATGACTTCTCTAATTGCTGAGTGCTGTGCTACATACACATGAAATAAAACTTGTTAATTGTGTAATTCAAATCTTTGATTGTCCACTTGATTTCTCAATTATACTTCTCAATTAGAGAAGTATATTAAAATCTCTGTGATGATAGGTTTTTTTTTCTTACCCTTGTCAATTCTTTTTTTTTTGTACTGGGGATCAAACTCAGGACCTCCCACTTGTCAGGCAGGTGCTGTGCCGCTGAGCTAAATCCCCAGCCTTGTCAATTCTGGCTTCATACATTTTTACACTACGTTGGCCTCAGTCCTTGTGTATTTAAGTTGGTACACGTCATTCATTGGCAGATGAACTTAACAAAATGTTACTTCTATCAAAAGACTCTTCGAAAAGGAAGAGACTACAACTTCCCGTAGTATTTTGTAGTCCTGTAATTCAGAGCGTTAGACATTGAAGATGTCAAACCTTAGAGCAAATAATGAGACTGTGACTCTCGTGCCCTCTTTCCCTTAGTCAGCTGGCTCTTCAGTAGAAAATGAAGAGCAAAAGAGTACATTCTTCATCCCTACCTGGCTTCAGGTGGGGCCTAAGTGGGAAGGCTGGGCAGTTATTTGCAATGTTGAGCGAAAAGATTTATCCTGTTTGAACAGCTGCATGCAGTCCCTGAGTTCCCTTCTAGAATCCTTCAAAGCAAAAGAGCTTCCTGAGATTCAGCCACCTACTGGGCCAGTGTCCACCTCTGGGGTTTGGGGAGTTGTCACTTTGAGTTGGAATCAGAACGGCTGAAGATCTAGGTGTTGGCAAAGGAGAGAGATGAGATGTGACCAGATGGCTTCACTTCCCATGGTGTTAGAAAAGTTCAGGCCTAGTCTGGCCATACTAGGGAGAGAGGCACCCAGCTGGGGGCAGAGAGCATCTCTCAAGAACTTGTCAAACTCTCACAGAACTACAGGGTTCTGAGAAGAAAAGGAACAGGGAGAGATAAGCCTCTGCCCAGCAATGGGTTGTTCACAGAGAATGAAGGAAGGCTCCAACCACTGACTTCTGCTCTTGGCCAAGTGCCTCTGTTAAGGAGACTGACCTCTAACAGATGGGGCTCCCCATCATTCCCAAAGACTTCCGTGCCTTCAAGAGCCCCAAATGCTGCAGTCCCTCTCTGGGAAGGGTACCAGATGGGCAGCTTTTCCCATAAACTCTGAGTAGCAGGCAACAGAAGAACAGACTCGAGCACCTGACATCATGGTCTCCAAAGGGCTGAGAAGCAAATGCTTGCACATGTGTGTGCTTTCACAAGAACCAACAGGGGCTGGGTCAAACAAACGAAGGCAACCATGAAACTGGCCCATTTTCTTCTGTTGTGAGAGTTCATATTGTGTGCATTGAGCATTTTCAAACACCTTCCATGTGCTAGTCACAATCCCAGAGGAGTCCACCATCTCATTCACTCTTACAGCCTTCTTGTGAGAAAAGTGTTCCCATTTCTCACACAGACACACGTGCTATACCACTAGGCTACACTCCATTTTTTCCTTTTTTAAAAATTTAAACAATCTAGTCCAACTCGATTTCAATGCAGTCTGGGGGAGGGGTCTGCTTTTATTATAAAACTCAGTTAACTAAAAAATAAAAATCACAACCTAATGGGTATACTGAGACTCAAAAAGGGGTGGGGGAGTCAGTTTAAAAAGCAAATTCTACATGGCTCTATCAAGCCAAGATAAAAATATTATGTTGTAACAAAATGTTCAAGAAATTCTTACCAGGGGAGACTCCAGATTTTCATTTTGGTCTTTGTAAAAACAAAGATGTGACATTTGAAACATTATCTGAATGTGTCAATTCCCACTCATTCTGAAGGTTGCTGACACACAGTCAGAACATAAATAATTCTTAGAAGAGCAACTGCACCTTTTCAAAACCCGGGTTCGGGGATGTCACAAGATGGGACAGTGGCCTAGCGGGTTGTCAGCTTTGGCACAGGGCTCTGTGGCGTGAGCTGCCCCCTCCCACTCCATGGCAGGCGGCAGAGGACAGTGGGAGAGGAGAAGCATCAGGCTATAAAAAGTTTTATGTTTTATTTCCTTCTAAGGCATCCTGAGTCACTGAGTGCTTCACCACACACACACACACACACACACACACACCCACACCCACCCCTGTGCCCAGGAAAGTTCAGCTCAAATCGGAAATGGGTGTACGTGGTTTTTCTCTAACCCAGAGTTAACAAATCAGATGATGCTGTCACTTGGACTGAACCTCTTACAGACCCAGTGGTAGCTTCCTGCTTCCATTCTGGGAGAATGGAAGTCACTTAATTATCAGGTTTTTCTGACCCAGGTTCTAATTATTACATCAGTCCTAACACCAAGCTTCATCTCTAGTCCACCCCAACACTGGAACTGCTAGGAACCTCAAAGCTCATCTGTCATCCCAAAGGACACAGAACACCTACACAAGTTTACCTCTCACCTTTTAGGCTTTTAGGTTTGATCAATTTAAGTGATGACAAACTATGTTGGTCAGAATCCTAGAAAGCAGGAGCTAAAAGGTACCAGTCTAACTATCTTATTTGACCAGGGAGGAAACAAGAGGCTTCAGAGGCTAGGACTACAACTTGAAGCCAGGCCCAAGGTCTCAGCAAAGGGTTCTGTCCCCAGGCCAGTTTCCTTGCAGTCCCCGCTTCTGCATACTGGAGGGGCTAAATGCTCCCAGGAGACGCATCACAAGCCTTCCGGCCAAAGCAGGACCTTACCATGTGCAATGGGAGAGGAACTAGGTGAGGCAGCTGGGTAAGATCCTTCCAGAATCAGACAGGGCCTAGAACCAATGTGTGGGGCTGTGCTGAGGCTCCCACTTCCCACACCAATGGAAGCTGCATCCCACTCGTTCCTTAGCTGCCACCTGACATGGACCAGGTGCTTCTTTCATTTAAAATCTTCACCTTATGTAAGAAATGTATTTCCTAACAAACCTAAGACTTGGATTAATGTTAAGGTCTAAGGGAAATTAATCTGTGGTGTGTATTTTCTACATAAGGCAAGTATGGGCAAGCAAGATTGGGTTAAAATACCACCTAGTGGCATCCAAATTCAAAATAGTGTAACTCAGTCACAAGCCGTGCCTATGGCCTCTTGCCCCTGGCTCTCACCCACTGTACTGAAGCCTAGGTGGAGTTCCATCTGAGGGCAGGCGTATCTTGTTCAGAGAGCGAAAGGGTGTGAAGGCTATGCAAGCTAAGAACCTACACAATTCGCAGTTAGAGATGAAAGGCTGCAGAAATGTTTATTGAATACAGTGCCAGGTTTATAAATAAAACTTATTTACAATTTCCATAGTTGGTCCCCCATCAGAGAGGTGGTTAAATCTCCAAACAGTTCATCTCAAGATTTACAGAAACGTTCCAGTACAACTCCTTTTCAAATAGCCACGGAGAAGGGCAACTTCAGTAACAAAAGAACCACCACCATCTTTGCTACAGAAGTGTTTAATGACATTATAATAGATTTGGAGAAAGAACACACACTCCACCCATGCCACTATCTTTTAACTCCAAGGGATAGACAGCAAAGAATTTCTGTCTCCTACAGGACAACTTCAAGGGATTAAAAAAAAAAAGAGTAACTGCCAGCTGAAGGGATAGATTAAGACACATCAGTGGAAATCTAGTCACTGCCAAAAGGATATATATAGGACATATAATAAATAATCCAAATGGTTAAAATAACTGAATGAATGAAGAGTAGACTTGACCAAATTTACATTCTTTGTTTAGGGAGAAGTTCCCAGGATGCTGAGGGGCCAATAATATGCTTTCCTGATGTGACAGCAGCGCTAGGCCTACTGGACAGCCATTCATTACAATATTGTTACAAGTACAATTGGACATGCATTTATAAAGAGAATATAAAAATATGTACAATAGCTCATCTTCAATGTGTTTAAATTGCCAAAAGACACCAATTAAAGTGTGCAAAAATTTGTCAAAAAATCAGAAAAAGCCTTCCCTGGCAACAGTGCATCAAAAGCCCATCTGAATATCGAGATCCATTTGCCTTGCTCAACACCTACCCCGAACAGATGGAGATCGAAATTATGAAAGGGTTTGCCAAGTACTCAGCAGTTTCTTATGGCAAGTCTCAGGCTAAAGCAGGATGCCAGTTAAACTAGTCACTTTTATATATATAAATATATGTATATATTTATAGTTAAAAGTAGGGGCAAGTTTACAGGAGGGTGCCGCGACATCAAGCTCTTTCCTCTCCCTAACTCACAGACTACCGCCCAACCCCTGGGCTGGTCATGCCCCCAGAATGCCCGGGGAAAGGCTAAAGTGGACTCTACCTCACCTCTGCTCCCAGCTGGAACTCAGCATTCCCTGCAGAGTAGGGTATCTGGTTCCCACACAGGATCCTAGCCACACACGTATCCTGTTCCAAAGGTAGTCTTTTAGGACAGACTGTGGGACTATGAAAATAGAGTCCACCCAGCTTCCAGAAAGACTTGGTAAAAGTACAATAGGAGCTAAGTCTTTAAAAACAAACAGCCCCCAAACCCCCTTGAAACTACCAAGAGGTCACTGACCCCAGGCCTGAGACTGGGCCGACAACTGGGCTGAACCCCTAAGAGAAACACCAGGTCATAGTGGACTTACTCATTCAGAGAGCCCACAGTACTGCCTATCTCACCACAAGAGAAACTCCAAGAGATTCTTGGTTGCTCCTCTCAGATTCAAAGAATTGGGGTCAACCTCTCCTCTACCAACCACGAAGTCCAAGGACTGGCAGCAGATGCACAATGGCAATGAATCCTCTCCACGGCTCTGACCCACCCCTCTGGCAGAAAATCTTAACAAGCTACACAATGCCAGAAAGACAGGGAGTAGGAGAGGGAGAAGCCAAGGGTCTCTCATAAATCAGCCCAGAATGCACCCACTTGGCTGCCAAGAGCTCATCACTGCCCCACTAGCAGCCTGCCACCATCCCCTGGCGATTAAAACCACCCGCACAAACACACACAACTCAAATCTCCTTGCTAGTAAGACACAACAAGTTAACACCCCGAAAAGTCCATATCCAGCCTTCATTTCAAAAGAGCCCCACACTAAATGCAAGATGCTTGTAAGGGGGCTTTTTCAATGGACCAATCCCACTGCAAAGACCAGTACCAGCATGTCTGGGTTTTGATTACAGGTTTATAATTAGACACAAAATTCACTCTGGGCCGGAGTTTTACTTTCAAGCCAGAGGCTTAGCATTAGTTCTACTGGGGGGGGGGGGGGCAGCAAAAGTCAAGTCAACTTTAAACAAAAACAGAAAAAAGTAAAAGGCTAATCATAAATTAAACTCTGAATCAAGGTGACTGGTAGTCTTTTAGGCATGAAGAGACTGGCTTAAGAAAGGACTACTGCTTCTACCACACACGGCGAGGACTGAATTACAGACACACTAAATCATGTCCCTTGCAAAGATGGTCTCAAGTAGTTACATAAAACAGGTAATCAGCAGCACAATTGAGAAGAACCCCTAAATACATGCTTGAGAAAGTGGTTTTTTCCTTCAGTAAGAGCTCTACCACCTCAATAGATTTGCCTCCCCCCTCCCCCCAGAGAAAACGCAACTAGACTTATGTTGTTGATAAATATGGTAAAGCGATCAGTATGCGCCTGTCTTGAGGCAAGGTCTTAGGCTCAGAGGTTGGTGCTGGGAACTTGGGAGGGAGGGAAGCCCAACACTGGGCTGTGGGCACTTAAATGTACACTGGCCTCCCCTCCAAGTGCCTTGTCCCCTTTTAAGATCTCAGCTTTACAAAGCATTTAACACCATTTTAAGTTAATGGTTTTTTTATTGGAAAAAAAAAAAAAGACTAGCATTTACAACTTGGAATGGATGTAAATTGTAATTTCTCAAACAGCAATGTTGACGGTTGTGCTGAAGTCCACAGCCATAGCCTACCTGCCGGCTCCAAGTCATGGTTCAGAAGGTTTTAAAAACAGAGTCCAAAGATGCTCCTTTGTAAAAGATTTCTTAGTAAAAATTTGTGTGAGTGTGACAGTCTGACACCCATTTCACTAAGTACAACACAGACATTGCTAAACCAACATGAGTGGGCACGCCACCACGGTGTCACTGTCACCATGGGTCAGAGCACAGGGACGTACAAGAGGACCGTCCTGCTACTGGGGCTACCTCTCAACAGTTTATCCTTCACCCATTCTCTGTACATCATCCTGAGGTAAACCAATTTTAAATGTGTTTGTTTTCAGTAAACCAGCCGTGACAATTTATACTAACAAATTGAACTCGAACCCATCTGAGTAGGTTTTGAATTCGTTTTTCATTTTTCGATTTTAATACAAATGCTTGACTGTGCTCAATCGTCAAGCTGCATGCATGAAAAACTGGCCAGCCCAAACAGTGTATTAATCATTAGCAAATGGAACTTTAAGGAGTCCACTAAGTGCTTCCTTATCATTAAGGTAGTACAAGTATTTATATTGTAAAACTGATGTGTAGCTTGATCTTTAGGGGACAGGACCACCAACCAATACATGCAGATTTTGTGTGTGTGGACAGAAGGTACTTTTGACATTCAGTTTTGCTATATAGAAACAGAATGAATAAATGAACTTTTTTCTTTTTTTTTGCAAGAGGTAAGTAAAAGATTCAATTTGATTCTTCTAGAGGGGGGAAAAAGTAGTTGAAAGTAGGTCTTCATTTTGCAGTCATCATCTGTACGAATTCTGAAAAGACAATTGAAACTTTTGGTTATCCTCAAAAGCAGCTTTCATGAACACACTAACTTTACTCTGCATACAGTAAAATCAGTGAACGTCTAGTGAGACAGTTAACCTGACAGACTATTAACAGCTAAGCTGAAGAAATTTAGTATTTCACCTTCATAGTTGACTTGTCCGTCTCCATCAATATCTGCTTCTCTGATCATTTCATCTACTTCTTCATCTGTTAGTTTTTCTCCTAAGTTTGTCATGACATGACGTAGCTCTGCTGCACTGATGTAACCGTTTCCATCCTGTAATCATTCAGCAGTTGTTACTGGTAGTGAACAGTGGTTCACGGTTGGCAAGTAGGTCCTGACTTAATTATGCACCCCTCTCAAGTTACTGCCAAATGTGCTCTCATCAACAATTCTACTTTCAGTCCCCACCTCTACCAATAATATTGGTACATGTGGTCCATTAATGCAGAAAATGCAGGGGGATTTTCAAAAGCTAAAAGATACTGACAGTAACAATCAAAGACACTTTGTTCAAATTCCTATTATGCCTCCCTTTGCGCTAAATAAGGTTACTAAAGTGGGCATCTGGGAGTGAGATCAGAGGCTCAGGCAGTTAGGTTATGTGTTTTACCTCCAATCAACTGTTCAGCTCTTAGAAGCGATGGTGAAAGAGTTGTGCTTATGCACTCTCTGCAACACAGATACAGGATTACCTTGTCAAAGACTCGGAATGCCTCACGGATTTCTTCTTCGCTATCTGTATCTTTCATTTTTCTAGCCATCATAGTCAAAAATTCTGGGAAGTCAATGGTGCCATTACCTCAAATTAAAAAACAAGAAATTCATGTAAGATAAGTACTGAATTGGAACAACTTTATTAAGCACTTGCTAGGACAAAGTGACAAACTCTTTTATTAGGGTCAATCTTTCGTAGGATTGGATTAGGAATAATCAAATACTTCACAGGGCAATTTCATGTGGTTCAAACTGATCAATACTTAGGATGGTATTTAAAGATGCAAAGGAAACTGCATGCCTGGAATCATAACCACCAAAGGGGCTGGACAGTTCAAGGGGAGAGCTGCTCACTACATTCCCAAGGGAAGCACTCTCTATTGTCTGTCCTGGATCTCCCAAGCTGGGGAGATCATTCATGCCTAACTCTACCGTGGCTGTTAGCCAATGATGTATAAACTGCAAACTGGAAAAACTATTAGGCCATGGGCTGTAGTCTTAGAAAGTCTTCTTGGGGGACAGGGATATAGCTCAGAGGTAGACCACTTGTCTAGCATGTATGGGGCCTTGGGTTCAATCCCCAGCACACCCTACACACACAAAAGGCAAGAGAGAGAGCCAGAGATCAAGAAAGAGATTCAAGATCTTCCCTAGGAGCATTTTTCAGCTGTAAGTTACCTAATAGTTCTTTTCTTCCCAACTTTTGTTGTTGCTTTGGTTTTTATGATGCTGAGAATTAAATGAAGGGCCCCTTGCATTCTAAGAATATGCTCACCATTTACCCAAATCCAGAGACCCCAAGTCAGTATCTTTATTTCCCCATTACAGAAGTTCAGAAGCATTTTCACAGCTCAGACTATTAAACTTTAGGAATCAGTGTCAGAAGAATCTGCTCTATATCCAGTATTCCACACAACTTCTCTAAGACTAAGAGATGAATAGCCCAAAGACAAGTTTTAAGGTTAATATGAAAGTAAAATAAAATTAGAAAATGTCCCGAGGTTAAATTATTCATTTTCACCAGTATCTTTAAAACAAAATAACTCTGGAGCTGAGGATGTGGATCAATGGTACCACAGCTGCCTAGCATGTACAGGCCCTGGGTGTGAGCCTCAGCACTACAAAAAAAAAAGGGAAAAAAATACAGAGACTCTTTTGTCTCTTTGGCCTCCAAAATTTTAAAGCACTACTGGTATTCTGAAAGACAAAGTAATTATTTGAAGTGCTATCTCCCAACCATGCAAAGATGTCCTTAAGTGCCATCATAGTCACTCAACATAAATTCAAGAGTTGGTGGTGTGACATAATTGCCTGCCTTCCTACAACGTGAAGGCCAAATTCACCTATTCCATTCCCAAGCCCAGCTCCCACGGGTTCCACGAAACTGGAGGGAGCCACCCCTTGTTCTCAGATGGCTGATCACCTCAGTAACCACACTAGACAAAACCATGGACAGCTTCTTCTAAAACAGTATTATGCATGAAAACAATTTTTATTTTTAGAAAAATAATTCTAATGGACACAGAAAACTTTGCCTAAGAGCTTAACCAAAAGTCCTGCTTCTAAATGTTTGTGACAAATGGAATCCCAATGTATCACTCACGTTACCATATTTTTCTAAATGGCTGCTATGAGGTCAATCATATCCAGATCCAAATTGTTCTACAATCTTAGGTGCTAAATTAGTGCACATATACAATTTACAAAAATACATAGGTTGCCAGGTGTGGTGGTGCACACCTATAATCCCAGCACTCAGGAGGCTAAGGCAGGAGGATCGCCATGAGTTCAAGGTCAGCCTGGGCTACACAGTGAGTTCAAGGCCAGCCTGAACTATATAGGGAGGCCTTGTCTCAAAAAACAAAGGCCGGGGATTTAGCTCAGTGGTTCCACTACCTGCCTCACAAGCTCAAGGTCCTGAGTCCAATCCCCGGTACCAAGAAAAAAAAAACAAACCTGAGACTCCATCTGAGAAAAAGAAAAGAAAAATACGGAAATCATGGGGTAAGTGAATCAAAATCTATTTAATGACAGAAGTAAACAATAAAAGCTCTGTTGTTCACTGCAACAGAATCCAGAGGAATGGATAATCAACTGCTATGGTGCAAACGCTGGTTCCTTCTGCACTCCATGCAGCTGTCCCTTCTCTTAGGTTCTGAAGATCTATTCCCTACAGCCGGCATGGGCCTCCGAGTCTCCTATGTTCCTCTTCAGCAAACAGCTCACACTTTACTCAGTTCTACGTTAACTTCACCCACTGCACTTAGGAGTTTCTCCTCTTAAGAGACAGCAAGCTTTTAAAAAAGCAGTTTCCACAGCAGTTTATTTTTACTTCCCCCACACAACTTGGGGCAGACTCTTGGGCCAGTTGCTAAAAGCACTGAGCTGTAGGTCATGGCAAGCAAAGAAGAACAATACAGCGATTTGATCCAGGAAATGTTCTAGACAGTGAGCAAGGTGAATGGCAGGCTCATAATCTTCTATTTTAATGTCAGTGGCCATAAGGCAGCCACAGAAAAGAACTCTGCACATTTGCTTTGCTCTGGGGACCTGAAAGACAATCCTGTAACATGTCTGAATTTCAGTTACACAACACTAGCACTCATTCACAGTTCTAAAGCTCTTACCATCAGCATCCACTTCATTGATCATATCCTGCAGTTCCGCTTCTGTTGGGTTTTGACCCAGTGACCTCATGACAGTTCCTAGTTCCTTTGTTGTGATGGTGCCATCACCATCTTTATCAAATAGGGAGAAAGCTTCCTTGAATTCTGAAAAATAACAGTTCACTCTTTAGAATCAATGTTTTTATCCAACTCAGCCACAGTGCACACTTCCCTATGGTTTGCTAAAGCAAGCACCAGAAGTTATCGGAAACCACCTGTTCTTTATCAGCTGAAATAAAGACCACAATAGTCCTGTTGGTCTGGCCTTCAAACAGCAGCCCATAAAGCAAACACTGCTCCTGGTAACCAGTTCTATTAAAACCGTATTTTTAGCTGGGCGTGGTGGCACATGCCTGTAATCCTAGCACTCTGGGAGGCTGAGGCAGATGGACCACAAGTTCAAGCCTAGGCTGGGCAACCTGGTGACTTATCCAAACCCTGTCATAAAAATAAATATATATATTTTTAAAAGCAACATATTTTAAGTAGGCTAAGCTTTGATACCTTTAGAGTAAGTCCTACATCCAATCCAGCATGAGACTGGTCCATGGGCCCCTTTAAAGTCTCTTCCTATTAAATGTCTACATCCATTAAGACCCATGCACTTCAAAGCCACATGAAAAGGTTACCAGAAATGTACATTCCCAGGTAACCAGCATGTTCTACAAAAATGTTCAGAATATTTCAGAAGCATTCCTGGTTTCCAAAAGAAAAACCATCTCAAAATACGTCTTCCAAGAAATATTAAAAAGCTAAAATCCAGTCCAATGAGGCGACACATGCCTATAATCCCAGCACTCTATGAGGATGACGCAGGGGGATCATCTAAGTTTGAGCCCAGCCTAGACAACTTAGCCAGACTGTTAAAAAACAAAAAAAAGAAAGAAAAAGGAAACTAATATAACTCACTACTCAATTAATATAGCGTTCTTAAAATTTATTTTTACTCACTCCCATTTATTTTCAAACTCCCATTTATTTTAAAGCTTTATGGTGGATTACCAAAAGCCTGCAGCATAAGAACTGTAAACTCATTTTTTTTTTTTTTTTGTGGTACCGGGGATTGAACTCGGGACCTTGCTCTTTCGAGGCAGGTAACGGAACCACTGAGCCAAATCCCGGGCCCTGTAAACTCATTTTGTGAGTAGCAGGCTCAGGGCAATCTCATTAAATGCAAAGCTGTGCACATGGTGAGGAACAGACACTCCTGAGTCTACCAAGTGGACATTCTTAGTTCCACTTGCTTCCACGTTATCTCTAAAAGACTGACCAGGAGGAGTACCTGACCTAAACAGACCTGCTTACTGTCTTTCTTTTGGGGGGGGGGGTGTTTACCGGGGATCGAACTCAGGATCTTGCGCTTTTGAGGCAGGCAGCAGCACTGAGCTAAATCCCCGGCGGCCTCTTACTGTTTTTATTTAAATAAATTCTTAAAAAACTGCTCAGATTGTAGGGAGGAAGAAACAGAGAAGGTACCAAAACTGAGTCAATGCCTAGTCCCACCCTTATGGGGACTCCCAGAGTTAACTTACCAGCAATCTGTTCTTCAGTCAGCTGATCAGCCTACAAGAAAGAAAAGGTTTTAATTCAATCCACAACAGTTTGGTTGGTAATAGTTTTTCCAATTAGGCTTTTTATGCTATAATCTTTCCAAATTCAATCTCCAGCCAGGGCGGCGCATGTCTGTAGTCCCAGCCAATCAAGAGGGTAACTTGAGCCCAGTTGTTCCAGACTAGCCTGGACAACACAGCAAAAATCTACTTCAAAAAAAGCCAATCTTAAAAGAAATCAATCCTTTGAAATCATTAGCACTGTCCATGAATGAAGATGATTAGAATACAAGGACCCACGTGTGCTATTTTAACACCAAAGGATGACAAGGAAGCGACATCTGCTTGCTCCAGGCTTTCTCCTCTGGCCCACAGCTTGCAGACGGCTGATATGTGACTAGGGTCGGTTCATAATGTGCAGAATGGCGCCTCTAGCGGCAAAAGGCCCCACAACACTGACTGCAGCGCAGAGAAAGAAGAGCGCCACCTATTGTGTCAGGGACACTGCAGTCCTGCTTCCATCCAAGGGACCCGGCCCAATGCCGCGGCCACGGCAGCCAGATCAGGATCCTGTCCAGGGACAGGCTTTTAGCGCACCTTGCGCATTGCTTCGGGCCCTCAAAATCTCCAAACTGGTGTTACATAATGGCACTGGAGTGGATTAACAGGCTTTTACATCCATTTTATGAAAAACAAGTATATAGCAATAGGCTACCCCCACCGGCTTCATTTCCACGTAGTGCTTTGCAATCATTTAAATTAGGCACTTACAGTATTTTGTTAAAAGTCTACCATTTACAATGACCAAGGTCTATGGCCAAATTATCTTACGAATCAGAAGCCTGGGAAAAAAATGGAACCATCTTACAACAGTAGTGTTACAAAACTGCAAAAATTAAGTACACAGAAAACTATACGATAATTATGAGACTGTGTCCCTCTTTTATGTGGAGTAACCATCAAATTTCCTGGTATTTACCCTATCTACCGTAAGACACGAGAACGGCTTATAATAAACAGTTTATTCGAAGTGACAGTGGCCACCAAGGTATAATTCTCTCTTGCATTATTTGGTCTCCTACAACACTGAACCTGTGCTTCCAGCTAGGGGAATTTGAGATCTCAAGGTAAGTTAATATATATTTTTATTTTAATGAAGGACACCTAATGCAGTCAGTTATAAAGTAAGTCCTAAAAGAAAGCTGATAGTGCTAAAGTTTATTCTCTTATGTAGAAACTTTCACAGTAGGAATGTTGTTCCAATATATTTTTTGGAATGGTGATTTATTTTTACAAATTATTTTTTTCTACCCCAGTTACTGAAAACTACTTTTCTTTAAATCGAACAAAAGGAGACCCTATGATTTATGTAATGCCAGGGCAATGTCTGTCTTGTTTAACAGGAAGAGCTGCCACACCTCGTAGGAGAAATCGTCACCTTACTAGGGAGAACAGTCCTATCTCCCCCACAAAACTTGTGTCAGAAGGTTGTTCCGAACATCCACCTTCCCCACCTTTCGGACAACGACATCCCCTTCCCCGGATCACGTTGGCCTTTGGGGGAAAGGCCTTGTTCCAGAACCCTGCAGGGAACCACCACACTACCCTACCAAGCCAGAAAATGCTGCCGGTGATGTCAGCCTACCCGCCGAGGAAGGGAGCCGTGGAAAACACACCCAGCGAGGCGCACAGGCGCATCTGGCAACCCAGAGGCTGCCGAGAAAGCGGAAACGTGGAGGGCATCTCCCCCCGGACTGGGAAGTGGCACGGGACAAGGGAAACGCCGGGTCAGGGGCCGCCCAAGGGAGCGCGCACCGGGCAGGAGGGGGGGCGACCCCCACTCCAGCATCTCCCACCCACTTATGCTCCCCCAGGCGGCGAACCCGCCGCGCCGTCGCCTCCTCCTCTTCCTCCTCCTCCTGAGCAGAAACTTTGCGTCTCTAATGGAAACCGAGCCGCGCGCCAGCTCTCCTCCCCCGCCACCCCCCCGCCCCAATTAGCGGGAGCCGAACGCCTCCCGCGGGAAGGGGCCTCCCGGTGTCCCGGGCCTCGCACACCTCGGCCACAGGACGGCACACGCGGGGGCCGCAGGGCGCTGAGCTGGAGACGCGCGCCCCGGCCACACCGCGGGGCCCCGCCCGGCCGCTTCCGCCCTCTCCGCCCCCCACCCGGCCTTCCTGCCCTCACCCCAACCCTCCCCGGCTCCTTCCTCCCCAACCCACGCCGCGCCCCCCGGGAGGAAGGTGGGGACAACGGCCGAGGGAGGATGGCCAACTGGGCCGATCGAGGGAGGGCGTCAGCCGCTGGCAGCGCTCAGAACCCCTCGGCCGGAGCAATGTGCGCCACCGGCTCGCTCCGGCCCATTCATTCTCCGCTGCGCGCCCGACCCGCCACCTTCAAGCCCAGGTGGAAAAGGGGGCGCGCGTGTGCCCGGCCCCGCCCGGCTCCCCCGCCCCCGGGGGCCCGGACCGAGGCGCAGCGCTGCGGGCAGCCCGGGTGCGGCGCTGGATGCAGTGGGTGCAGGGCTGGGGGAGGGAGTGGATGCGGAAGGCCCGGTGCAGCTGTGGCCACGGCCCCAGCCCGTGGACAGCCCACGGCCACGTCCAACTCCAAGAGGGACAGACAGTTAGAGGATCCCCAGCAGAGATGCAACCGCGGCTGCTGTGTAGCGCCCGCCAAAGAGACCCCCCCCCAAGCAGAAAAAAGAAAAAGAATCCAAGACTGAACTAAAAATCTGGAAAGAAATTTTGGGCAGCTGCTACGCCGGCGCTCGCCGCTCCAGACCTACCATGGTGCAAGCGAAGGGAGGAAGAGCCGAGGGAGAGAGGGTGGATCCACCAGCGCAAGGGCTGTGACAGCGGGGGTGCCTCCGCTGCAACTGCTGCTAAGGCGCGCTCTGCGCTCTGCGCTCTGCGCTGTGCCGCCGCTGCCGCCGCCGCCCCCCCGACTGCGAGTAACGGCTCCGCGCGCACGAGACTCCCAGCACCACTGCCGGAGCGCGAGTCGGCACGCCGCGGTATATATATGGCATGCCGTATCCCTCCGCCGCGGTGGGGCCGCCTCGCGCAGGGCGGTGCTGCGGCAGCTGGGCCTTGCCGATCGGCCCCGCCCCCCGGCCGCCCTCCACCCCACCCCACCCCACCCCCCCGCGCTCTGGCCGCGCCAGCCCTGGCCAGGGACAGGAACTGGAAGGACTCAGGGAGGGGCGCTGTCCCCGGACAGGTGCGGCCAGAAGCCGCCCAGCTGGGGCTGGGGCGAGGCCGAACACCTGCTTAGCCCAACATGTGGGCGGCCCAAGGCCTCAGGCTATCCCCCCTGACCCGGCCCCACCCCACCTTGTGACCCCTCCCACCTCCGCGTCAGCGACCACTCCACAGGGGCTGCGGGGTTCCGCTGGCCGCTAGCATTTTGGGTCCTCAGCAGGTGCTTCTCGGAGATGCTGCGGGTGGGCCCGGGACTGGGGCCGACGCGGGGAGGCAGGCACAGGGGAACTGACTGCACACCCTCAGCTGCCACAGAGAGGGGTCTGCAGGGCACAAGGTAGTTGGCCTCAGAAACTAACGGAGTTGTGCTTTTCAAATTTTGGAGAGCTCTCTGAGACGTATTATGTAGACTCAGTTGCTAAATCCGTGTCATGTTCATATGCTTAATCAACCTTAATGTTTTTACATTTCCACTGAATAATTTTTTAGGATACCTAAATATTTCTCCCCTGCTGTTTTATTCCCTTTTTCCTATGGCAAATACTATGCAATCCTGGTTTCAGTGTTAGTATAATAATCAATGCAGCTTCTATAGTCCTTAATACCTATGCTTTAAATTTTTCGTAATGTTAGTGATCCTGAGAGGAGTCCAAATTTTTATTCATAAGTCCATCGAAACAAAGAAGGAAAAAAATACTTAGAATCCCCTAGACTACAGCTGAAGCACACGGTCAGTTGCCTCTAGTATGGAGCTAGACTTTTTCTTTAACCTGTCTTAATTATATTCCTTTTAAAATAATATTTTAACCTTTAACTTTACTTCTGTTCTTTATTCTTCTGTAAATTAGAAAAAGAACAATTTCAGTTTTTAATTTGAAGCCCAGGACTTGAAAAAAAAAATCTTAACAAAATGCTGCAGTTTCTTTTTGTGCCAAGACAGAACACAGAACTTGATCTTTTGTTTACAGGGCCAGAGCAAGTTGCAGGTTATCATTTGCTTATTCTTTCAGAGACTGTGACAAAGTGTGTGATTAATGTGCTCTGCCAGAAAGGACTTTGCTGTGTTCTGGCCTTGCCAAAGTCTGCAGAAAGATGTTTTAAAAGAATAGAAAATGTCCAGGCACATTGTAAATGCCACAGGACTTTGTGGGATAACCTCAGGCAAGATGTCAGCATCGGGGGAACTGTGAGTACTGATGTTCCTTCTGGAATGGCACAGAAGGGGTGAGCCTCCTGTTAATTTAGAGACAGGCTGCCGCAGCAAGCCAGGCAATGATGCTGCCTTCCCTCTGCAGATTAGCAAGACGGTATTCACAAATTACCCCTCCCAAATAGTATTCCTGTGCTCCAGAGGAAAAAGGGGACAATACAGTGTCAACTAAAAGATATTCACAAGTCTAAAGGGCCAAACTCATTATTAAAACTGCTTTGTTCCCAAGTGAATTTGTAATCTGTCAGTCTTTGCATAAAGTAGTTAGCTAAATGGGCCGGGGATTTAGCCCAGTGACTCCGTCGCCTGCCTCGCAAGCTCAAGGACCTGAGTTCAATCCCTGGGACCAAAAAAAAAAAAAAGTAGTTAGCTAAATGATTATTAAAACATAGTATGCACTGTATAAGAGGGAAATAATGGCTTAGGAATGAAATTGTTGTCGAAAAATCCTCCAGTTTGCAGTAGTTTTTCTTATAATTATTTCAGTTAAATTACTACGATCTGTAGTTTTTAAAACCAGTCATTCTCTAAAAACAAGTTGTCCTCTGTCATTTAACCTTATTTTGCCCAAATAAATACTCTGAAACTCTTTCATGACTTTACTTGCTAAAAACTGTACATTTCAGAATTATTTTAATTATTATAGTAAAATTTCTTTTTCTGATTCTTCATGTTTTACAAACTAGGGTCCTCCTTTGGTGATTCTTTAACATATCAAAGCACATCTTAGCTTTCAAGTCTAGTGGTTTGTAATGAGGTCATGCTTTAAACAGTTTCATGGCTAGTTTGACACACTGAAATATAAGAAGGTCAAGTGACTTGCCCAAGATCTTACTGTGAGTCAGTGATGGGGTATAAACAGCTTGAATCCTTGCTCAGAAGCTCTAATATTAGATTATATATTATTTTAATCAGTACCTGGAATTTTTAAAGGTACAATGTCAAAGATTTGTTTCATATAGCAGATTCTTTGATGGCTTAGAAGCTTACTAGGATTTCATTATCAAATAGACTCCTTTAAGTGAATAAACTTCCTAATTAATGAAGAAAACAATCAGGAAAATAAGCCACATTATGATAATATAATTTAGTGAGATCCAAAAAGCCTCTGGAACATTCCATTATACTTACAGGATATGGTTCTATATGAGATTATTTAAATCAAATAATGTTTAATAGAAAAAATGTAGAAAGAATGCAGCCCCAAGCCAGGAGTCTCAGCCCTGAATACTATTTCTGTCACTAACCAGATCACTCCACTGCTCTGAGACTGACAGAAAGAACACGAATGTGACTATTGTATGCACTCATAAGTAAAACGAGGTTTGAGCTTGATCTATAAACCCCTTTCAGCTATGCATACATGTATATATTCCTACATTGTGTCATATAAGTGGATATTCACACACAAATATACATATATTGAAGTCGAAGAGGACAAATGGAGAAATGGAAATAATTTAAAAATGATATTTACCAAGTATTGACTGTGGCCAGGCCCTGTGCTAAATGTATTATTTCATCCTCCTACCCATCCTGTGAGGCAAGAACCATTTTTATACTTACGAGGAAACTGAGTGGCTTGCCTAATTTTAGTGGTGGAACCCCAAAATCTCATTGAGAACCCAAACACTGAAGCATTAAACTGTAACTATCTCATAATTTTTTTTTTGTACCAGGGATTGAACTCGGGTCCTTGCGCTTGTGCAGCAGGCGACAAAACCACTGAGCTAAATCCCCAGCCCACTATCTCATAATTTAACAGAATTTATTTTTAACTTAATTGAAGGGGGAGGAGAAGCTCAAAGGTTAAAATAAAAATTTATTTTTTAGAGAGCTACTTCTTACCCAAGGAATGCAATAATAGCTCTATCTCCCACAAGCAACAGTGTTTGTGAAAGAAAACCCAAAGCAAAACATTTACTTTGCCATGCGTTGTAACTGGAGGGCAGTTCTTATTTGCCACTGAGGCTACTGAATTAGTAAGAAGATTTGCTCACTCCCAAACACCCTGCACCCTATACTTTCATCAAAGGAGGTGACCAATGGCACCCTAGTCCCAGCTCGGTTCCTTAGACCATGTTGTCTCTCCAGGAGTTGGTATTTTAAATCTGTTTTTTTACTAAATTGTCCCTGAAACAAAACCTGATTTTAAGACAACAATTAATACAAAATGGCCATGACTTCTACTGAAATATAGTCAGAGAATATATTTGCATTTTAAATCTACCTTAGAACAAGACTCCATTTAAATATTTATTTATTGTACCCCACATTTTTCTAGGCCTCATGAATACAGCAGAATCCTTTCATGGAGCTTCCATTCTTTGGAGAAAATGACTTCGTGTGTGTGTGTGAGAGAGAGAGAGAGCAAGAGAGAGTGAGATGGTTTGGTTTGATGGTAAATTTGATGGGTGTGGTGGTCCACATCTGTAATCCCAGCATTCTGGGAGGCTGAGGCAGGAGAATTGAAAGTTCAAGCCCAGCCCTGGCAATTTAGCTTTTTAGTGAGAATTTGTCCCAAAATTTTAAAAAGAAAAGAGAAAACAAAAGGATTGGGCACATAGCTCAGTGCAAAGGCCCTAGGTTCAACCCTGAGTACTGAGAAAAAGGAGAAAAAAAACCCAAAATCCATTCACAGTATATAACTATAGTCAATTGTATCTTCATAGTTGGATTTCAATTAAAGGATTTACCTCAAGAAATTTGTAACCTAAACTGGCACTCATCTCTTATACTCTCTTTTTTTTTTTTGGTACCGGGGATCGAACTCAGGTCCTTCTGCTTGTGAGGCAGGTGGCAGAGCCACTGAGCTAAATCCCCAGCCCTCTTATACAATCTCTTAAACTAATGAAAATATCTTCTCTCTTACTTCTCTATCATCACCAACTCCTTCCTTCTCCACCCAGTGACCCAATAGTACTTTGATGAATGTTCACCTTTTGGGATTATCTACATCAGTATCCACCTCTAGTCACAAAAACAGATTCTTGCTGTTTATATGTAAATTTAATCTCATTAAGTTTTTCACAGAATTATTATTAAAAGCTTTATCATCTCTATCAACAAAACACTATACCTCATTATTTTTCCATTTAAAACTTTGCTATTATCTTGTTTTTGTGTTAGCTTTATGGCTGAATCTTACAGTAAGTCATAGAAGGAGTATTCACAGATTACATTTAAATTGAAAATATGATACCAAAAAAAAAAAAGAAACTACGATACCATCAGAACAAAATAAACAAGTGTTAGGCCATGATTATTTACCATGAGAAAAACGTGATCAGTTTCTGGGCTGGGGATTTAGCTCAGTGGTTCCACCACCTGCCTCACAAGTGCAAGGACCCAAGTTCAATCCCCGGTACCAAAAAAAAAAAACCACGATCAGTTTTAACAAATAAGTTATCTATTTAGTGTCTTATATTTTTAAGTGAATCATAGCCAGACTAGCTGCCTTGCTGTGTGTTCCAACTAGCAAAGGTCATTGGCATATGCAGTTAATGGTCTAACATGCAATATTCCCAAACATTCACCTTCCATGTGCACCTCATTCTTTTAAAAAAACAGTAAAAACAAA